TAAGTACCTGCCGCTGTGAAGAGAGCAAGAGAGAGAGAGAGAGAGAGAGAGAGAGAGAGAGAGAGAGTGAACAAGATAGAGACAGAAATAGAAAGGGAAATGAGAGAGAAAGAGAGAGAGAGAGGGACGAGTCAAGCGAGGAAGGCGTAAGAACGAGCCGCAGAAAATTAACTTTCAATTTGGACTCTTTGTCTCTCTGCCACCTTTTCCTTAATGGGCCACTCTATAGCAGCCAACGAGGGACATATACGTTACACCTGTAGTGAAGCGAATAGATCAAGGAATATTTTCCTCGAAAGAGTAGGGAAAACTTCCTATACATACTTTTCATATTCGTTAATATTTCTGAACAAAAGAATAATAGAGTTCTTGAAAAAAATCGCTTAAAGTTCTACCTATGCCAATGAACAGAACAATGGTTATTCATTGAATTCATTGAAACGAAATGTACAGAGAGATATTTAAGAGAATACACGTTGAAGTCTATGAAAATCGATTGTATATAATGGAAAATATTGAAGGGAAAAAGGACATAAACATTATTTTATCCGTATTAAAGTAATTTCTATCAAATGTCCATATGTTGTTTGTGTTCGTTCGTCCTTAACGAAGAAACACCTTGAAGTTTCGTGCGTGTTCCGTCCAGGTTGAAGAAAACGCGTAAAAGGAGAAACATATAGACATACATATGTAGGTTTCTATACGTATGTATACAGAAACGGGGTGAGTTCGTTGTCCGAAAGGAAACCGAAAGAAGGGAATCGCGAAGAAGGCACGATCGCGCAGATGTCGCTGAAATTCCGTTCGAAAAGTCACTCGAGCGGCGCCACTCGCATAAGTGAACAAGGCAACCCACTTCGTATCGTCTTCCTTTATTACCCCGGATACTTTGCCTACGCACGAATTCGTAGACTGTCAGGAGCTGTCAGAGTCGTATACAATGTCGCTTCTAACCAGTTTGTATATGTATATATAAAAGATCATTGTCGACGAAACGAGGAAATGGACTTTATCGTATTGGTAAATTCGTTTTCGTGTTACATTGTAAAGTCTCTCTGTTAGTTACGCGAACGTTGAACGAATATTAATTATAAAACAAGTCATTGCCCTGAATAGTTATCGTTTTGAGTAGAAGAATCTTTTTGTTTCTTTTAACTTTTCTTTCCTTCTTTTGTATTTTTTTTTTTTCCTTAGAAGAAATTTTTTTATTCGGACGTTAGACAGTTTAATTTCTATTTGTTTTATCAGCTTAAAGATCGATCGAAGATGCAAAATGGTAATACACATTATAGTAGATTCGATTTTAGACTGGCAACAACAAAGTCCAGCTCGCTAATTTCCTAACGACCGATGTGGCGGTGTAACCCGCCATTAATTTCCAATTAAGAGGCAGTAAAATTTCAATAATGGCCATTAAGAAGCGAACGTTAGGAGAGCTGCTTGCCTGGGTACGTTGCACGGGTGAGGCGAAAACGATAGGAGAAGGGTAAGGGGTAAGGGAGAGCGCGAAGTAATACGAGAAAGAGAAAGGGAGAGAGTAGATAAAGGAGGAAGAAGAAACGAGTGACCGTCAGGTGCGCCAGATGCACGTTTGCCCCTCCTTCTTCGATACCGATCGTTCGTCGATCGTTTCTAAACGACCCTTTGCCTACAAACACGAACGTACCTACTCCCTTCTCATCGCCATTGTCATTATTATAAAATTAGAGCAGTTTGAAATAGATGGATACATAGGATATCCATCAGTAGATATCTTAACCGATAATGAATGGTTACGAACATGGAAATATATCGAAGGCGATATATTACCCCCGACATCTCGTTCTATTTATCTTCGTAATGGGATCCAATACAGCTATAACAAAAATGTATATTATCAAAGTTTAACTATCTCCTGAGTACGGTGTATATGAATATTCATAGCCTCATAACACTACTTTAAATTTATCAGAAATGCATCCCTTCGTTTATATTTTATTTTTCCTCATTGACTTTCGTCTACTATGGGAAGAGTTTGGTGGATGGAATTAATTAAGGAAATATTTAAACACGACACTCGACAAGGTAGATCCACGGAACGGCGATGCTGGGAAGAGAAAGATTCGACTTGGATAAGGGAGAAGAGGAGAGTCGGATGAAAATATAATATGCCAGCGAAGAGGTAGAAAAATCGTGCGAACGCAAGAAAAGCTGAAAATTCTAGTAGCAGTACCGGTACCCGTTTCCGCGATCAAATAAACATACCTCGCCGAGTCCGTGCTCGCGGGTCGAACCCAGAACGAGAGAAGGTAGATGTTACTCTGCTTCTCTCTCTCTTTCTCTTTCTCTCCCCCCCCCCACTCTCTCTCTCTCTCTCTCTCTCTCTCTCTCTCTCTCTTTCTCTTTCTCTCTTGCATGTTCTGGCTCGCGCGCGGGCGCGGACACGTTATAGGCGAGCGAAAGTTACACTGGGTATCAGGTAACCCATTATATTCCGCGGCAAGGTTAATAGTGGATGAATTGGAATTGAATATTATGCTCGGCCTGTGCAAACAGGCAGCCACCGTCATCGCGGAACCGTGAAAACGTTAGAGAGTGACTCGCCCTCGCGAAACCCATAGGTAGCTCTCGGTGGTCACTTGACTCGAAATTGTAATTATAACGTCGGTAAGTAAATTATAATACAATACCCGCACTGCTGGCCACTGTTTGGTGTTCAAAAGATAAATAATAGCGCTACCGTTATGGCTACCGAGTACGTCATGCACGAAGGAGGCTGGATAGTGGGGTTGTTATTTTCACTGGTGGGGAGAAGTTCGAGCTGTGCAGCTAACTACGAAATGATATAGACTCTTTATTTCCCTTTGCTCTTAAGATTAACCAGGAAAAGATAGGAAAATGTGGAAAAACTTTATTATATTATACTTATTATTACAGAGAAGTAATTGAATTAGACATTGTTAGCAGTTGTAACTGAAAAAAGATCAAAAATTTTAATGAAAATATACCACAAAAATGAAAGGTTGAATAAAAGTTGAATTAAAAATCAGTGATTTCATTGAGACTTTTCCTTTTATCAATAAAATTGATTGAATGTTTCATATTTTTCATGCAATAAAAAAACTCGAAAGACTTCTTTCAACAAGTGGCTATTCTAATAAAGAACAAGATCATGATACACCACTTGTATTCCAGAATCTATACGTCATAGAGATGTAAAACCACAAAAGTGCAATATATTAATGTCCTTAATGCTAAGTATCATGCATGTTTAAAAATCTTTGCTAATCCGTAAGAAATGAATTTCCAAAGGAATGTAAAGACTTTTAAACTGTTCGATATACCGATATATCTCGTGATACAAAGATTCAGCAAGATTGGAGAAAAAAAGACATAATAAAAAATTTCAAAATTTGCTAAAACTTTGCAAAATACCCGGAGACAAGTATTTCCACTCCTGAGTGGAAAAAAATTATGTCTTGCGTCTTTCCGACCCTACCTGCTTAAAAATTAAAAAACATTCACACCTAAGTATGCTACCTGCCTACCTATTCCTATATTTAAAAAATATAGCAAAACATTCGTTCCAACACACACACTCCACGATTCTCTCACATACCGCCAGGGTGCAAAAGCCTACACTAGAGAGTATGCCCCGGGGCACCTCCGACACCCTAGCTCAACCACGTATTTCATAATTCTTAACTAATTATAGGTACGTACCAATTTGCTGAAATCGACTGTCAAGGTTAGTGATCTCTGTGTAAGGTTTTACTTTCAATATAAAGTACTAGTATATAAACATAATAGTACCATGCGAATACTATTACTTTATTCATTAAAATATGCTTCATCTAATATTCAAAAGAATTGAATGTTATTTTGCATAAAGCACAATTTTCAATATAAATATTTTTATATACCGATATACTATCATACTCTAGTAACATACGAATGTTTCTATTCATTATCGTGTAAATACTTTAATATTTTATTTATTAATTAAATACTTTCCATATGTATTTTGTAATTTGATTAAAAAATGTCGCGGCACGATGCACAATCCACCACCTAACACGCACACACAGGTGCAAAGTACATCGTGCACGATCACTAACGTTATGACAATCGCCAATGAGGGGGAACTTAAAACTAAACCCATACAAACTGTTTCTCATCCATGCGAGTAACACCTGGGCACACGCATCTGATGAAAACGCAGATTGCACAGGGAGAGCGAGGGGGAATTAAAACATTAATTGCTGAAAATCCTGAGCTAAAATTGATTAACTTATTATCTAAGCCTAAACGGACTATGACTCTACAAATCTCTTTGTTTTTCATTAATGACTCTATTAGACTTTTGTTTTAATTCAAAATCAATGACTCTATTGAGACTTATCTTTTATTAATAAAATGATAAAATATTTTATTAAATTTTTCATGCAATCAAAAACCTCGGACGATTCCTTTCAACAAGTGGCTATTCTAATAAAACGATAAGATCATGATATACCACTTGTATTCAAGAATCTATCCGTCACGGATGGTTTGTCTTCTTGTTCATTTTTTGGTACATCCATATCGACATATCGTAGCAGATTGCGATCTAATATACTAAGTACGAAGCAATGCATGTAACACATACCTTTCATTAACGAAATCGGGTAAATGAATGCCCGATTTCACCACTAACAACGCGAACAAAAACGAAGAAATAAAAGTATTAATTAATTGTACTGCTAATTAATAGCTACTCGACCCGATGAAACAAGAAGACCCTAGCCTGATATAATAAAAATAAGCATGCACAATAAATGAATAATGGAAAACATGCACAAAAAAAAACATAATATTCGTGAGTAAATCCAAAATAAGAGTTACTCGCGTACTCGTTAATAATTAATTTAGAAAAATTACAACCAGTAACTCGTGCCGATTCGGACCTTTCATCCTCGACATGATGAGTACTGGAGGGATCTTAATTTTTTCACTCACTACTTAAGAAGTTCTACGATGGCTCCAAAACACTCGTCCGCGTTGTAGGTTGAAAATGAGGTAGGTAGACATCGATGTAGGTCGAAATTGGGTAGAGGTTCAAATGATTGTAGACTGCTACAACTGTGATGATCTGTAAAAGAATTAAAGAAAAATTCATTGTTATAACAATATTGTAAAATATTTGTTAATGAAATATAAAAAATTACTTACCAATAATATCCTAAAAGAATGTGTACTAGTTTCTTGATAATCTTCCATGATGCACTGACTCTAATACGCGACAATTATTTATTTATTACGCGACTGCCTTGCACGCAGTCCGTTCACGTTTACATATTCCTAAAGAATAATTTAAATCGCGAAACGCGAGTAAATTTAAGTTGACGAACAATCACTGCTTCTACTCCGCGATTATGTTATTTAAGCGAAATAACACTCGATTGCAGCGCGCACGATTGCAATAATGTTCTGAAAAGAAAAGAAAAACAAAGTTATTAGTATCATTGTTATAATAAAAAATTCTTGAAAATTATTGAGGAATCGTTTAATAAAAAAATTAACTTACTTTAAGTCTTCATTGATCCTTGCACGATGAGCATCCTGCTCCAGGAAGATGATGAATGATGCTTAATGCCTACGAAATATTAATAATTTTTATAGTTAGCTATTTTGTAATAAAAATTTTTGTAATAAAAACACAACATTTAATTGTGATAAATAAATATGTAAAGTAATATATTTATTATGAGAACCGTGCAGATAAATTGAAAAGTTGTAGACTGTATAGATTATTACCTATTAAACAATAATAATATTTATAGCTAATTACTTTATAATAAAAGTAAATATTATAATTAATATTTATAATTCTTTAATAACTAATAATGTTAACAATTAAGATTAAAAAAAGCAAAAGAAAATTTTTATTTAAACAATTAATTAAAATATAATATTACTAACCTATAAAAGAGAGAGAACGGAGAAAGATAAGTGAGTATGTCATCGCAATCAGATATATTTTGTTACACTGATAGAGGTGACTTCCCCCACCATTCGTTATCCAGCAAAACGTTCGACAATGTTTTGAAGCGAATGATTTTCTACGACAGTGTATTTCTACGAATTTCGATTCGTAGAATACAATGTAAATATTATTGTCTGTGAAATAAAAGAACCATGTAAATAGAGAATAAGAATCTGTATATATGAGCGTATACATGAATGAATATATGTAAATAAATATATACGTATGGATAGGTAATATATACATTGATGTGTATACATATATATATGCATATAAATGATGCGTAAGCACGTATCTGTATATGTAGAGGAGGAATAACTGTGTAAGTGTGTATATGTGTGAGTATATATGTGTACTCATCATCATATAAAAAATATAGAAAAGATGTGTACGACACGAAATATGATCGATCATGATTAATGAATTATAAATGACTATATCGAATATTATAAAACAAAATGCTAAAATATAGATAGAAAATACGAGAAATATTATTTGTAATTATTACGTAACGATCACATATCGACTTTTTCAGAGCGTAATGACGAAGTATTTTATTTTCGCGGATATCTTTGAAACGCAACGATGGCCCGATTTGAAAACACTCACGCGTGAAAATCGCGTTTTCGGCTGTCGATTGATATATAAATGATGGTTGTACGTTAGAAAATAATATCTAATTACCTGTTATTAACGGGACGACGAAGCTCTCCTGCAAATCCCTGGCACAAATCGATTCAAAATGGCCGATCTTACGTCAGCAAGGAAGGTACGTGGACCCCTTGGATACACGTATTACGTCATCTTCATAATGGCCATCCACGAAACTTGTAATTTTTCGATCTATTATACAAAAATATGAAAATATTAAAGATATGATATACGATTATAAAAATCGTCAAAACTAATACATAATTGGACCAAACTAACGAAATAAATCACTGAAACTCGATATCTGCGTAAATAAGGCCGAAAAATGCAAATAAAAAAATTTGAGGAAAGCAATTGCATCATTTTATATTTTCACGAATATCTTTTAAACGCGACGATATCCCGATTCGAAAACGTTCACACGTGGAAATCTTCTTAATGGCAATCGATTGATATATAAAAGAACGGGGTACGTTAGAAAAAATATATCTAATTACTTATAATTAACGGGACGATGAATCTCTTCTGCAATCAGTAACATTCACAACTTTAAGATGGCAGTTTCATCATTAGGAAGAAGGATATGTGGAACCCCCGCGCATGCGCGTTATATCACTTACATAATGGCCCCCCGCAAAGCTTATAATTTTTCGATCTATTATACAAAAATATGGAAATATTAAAGGTATGATGTACGATCATAAAAATTGTCAAAACGCATAGTTCAATGGATCAAACTAACGAAATAAATCACTGAAACTCGATATCTGCGTAAATAAGGCCGAAAAATACGGATAAAAATTTCGAGGTAAGCAATTGCGTCATTTTATATTTTCACGAATATCTTTTAAACGCGACGATATCTCGACTTGAAAACGTTCACGCGTGGAAATCTTCTTAATGGCAATCGATTGATATGTAAAAGAAGGGTGTACGTTAGAAAGAAAATATCTAATTATCTGTAATAAACGGAACGAACGAGGTTCTTCTATAAGTAATAACAGGAACTGATTTAAGATGGTTATTAGACAAGACGGCTAGGTGGCCCCATTTGCATATTCCTAATACGTCATCAATACCCCTCCCCCTCGCGAAGTTTATAATTTTTCGATCTATTATGCGAAAATATCGAAACATTAGAAATACGATATACGATTGCAAAAACCATTGGAACGTATACCTTGTTAATCCAAACAAAGGATTATAAATCATGGAAACTCAATATCTATGGAAATTAGACATGAAAGGATAAATAAATTTCTGAGGTTATGGGTACTCGTACGTCGTACATGTAATTGAGTCTCGTAGTAGATATTTTTTATTCTCGATGTTGGCAGTTATTCGCGAACAATTTGTAAGACGTGAAGCGAAATATCGATTGATCCGCGAAAATTATATTGAACGATGGAAAAATTACGTTAATAGTTAAGAATTATTTAATTACGTGTAAATATAACAATTAACTTATATCGACGTAATAATATATACGAAGTGAAAGAATTATTGTGTAGAATTATCGTAATTTCTACAGGTGGACAGTGACCTTTGGATATATCAACGAGTCTCGAGTAAATTAGGTAATTTCATTAATTATTTATTTATTCATTCACAAATGAGATATATGATTATAAAGACGATATTAAAGAAAATATCTTATTATTACGAATTATTATATATCTAATAATTCGATGGAATTTGTTAGTACGTTTTCAAACACGAAAATGACCATTATCGAGTGTGTGCGTTTCTTTTTTCTTTTTTTTCTTCTTTTGTAACATTTTCCAACGTTCCAAATTTTTGCGTCAGCCCATTGAATCTAAAAGCTAATAAAGAAAAAAGAAAATATTATTTCTATTAAAAGTTATGACAAGGCAATGCGTTTAGCGATAGTGATTTCATAAGGCACTCCCTGCGGTTGTGCCTTAAAAATATTCTGTAGACCACGAAGTAGAATATTCGTTCCTCTCTGTAATCTTCGTAACGATGTCGCCAGTGCCGTAACACTGGTAAATTACTGGATCAATGCATTTTAACAGTCGTTCGTAGTTGTTTAGACTCCCGATGATACCGATGGCAAAGGGGAGAGAAGAGAGATCGTTTAGGAAAGTTATCGAAGGAGGATGATTACGTAGACGACGAGACATGAATTAGATTAAAAAAAGATTGGACGATGTATAGAAGTAGAGAAAGGAAGAATAAAGATCGAGAGGTTAGGTCGGGTGGGGCGAATGGAAAAGAAGGGTCCTACGACGTAGAAACAATCTTACGAAAATTTCAATCAACGAAATGCGTTAGGTCTTTTCGCGTATCTTCTCGTTAGAAAAAGAAGGAAAGAAACAAAAAAAAAAAAAAAAAAAGAAAAAAAGAAAAAGGAAAGACAAAGGGAAAGGGGAACGAGGAATTAAAATTGTCATGACTCCGTGAATGTTTATACCTCGATGATCTTTCTATAATAAAGATTTTCCATCGTCTCGATGCATGCTTACACATTATAATATATTCTAATAGTAAAACGTCTTTACTGAATTGCTCTGAAATACGCAGGAGTAATGATTATTATCAAGGCGAAATACATTCCTTAATTAGTAATTAATTTCGTAAACCTTTGAAGACGAAACGAAATATCTTTGCAATGGTATCAAAGTCTTCGAGAGGGGGAAGGGTTGAGGGGTGGGGGGTTGAGGAGGTGTTGATGGGGCGGGGAGGGGAGGGGAAAGATTAGAAGTCTTTTGAATTAGCGGAGAATAAGATTTCATTCTCGTTGAGTTTCTGGAGACTCACGAGATTTGGTCGAGATCGTGAAGGAAAAGAGGGATGGAAAAGAGCGAGAGGTGACGGAGGTAAGAGGAATAGATAAAGAGAACGAATGAGCGAGAGAGAGAAAGAGAGAAAGAATAAGAGAGAGAGAGAGAGAATAGAGAGAAAGAGAGGAGAGGAGACGCAAGCCCCTTCGCGCAGACTGGTAGTTAAAAGTTACAAGATGATTCGTTGAGTAATCCTAGACCGTTTCCAGACGGTTGCAAATTGCAATCGTGAACGCCGCGATAATTGTCGCGCCAGTTCGCGTAATGACAATTTTCATCGTGTCGTCACACGGCTAGGGCGGGCGGCCAGAGGAGGGGAAAGGATTGGAGAGGGAAAGAGGAGATGGTAATTTCCCTATTGCATCTTTCGCGAGGCATCGTTATTATTGTATGCACGTATAGACAGCTCGAAAACCGTGGCGGCCCTTCCCCTCCCTTCTTCTCCTCTCCTCTCCTCTCCTCTCCTCTCCTCTCCTCTCCTCTCCTCTCCTCTCCTCTCCTCTCCTCTCCTCTCTTCTCTTCTCTTCTCTTCAATTCTTACTTATTAACTCCGAGTTTATCTTAATTGGAGGAAATATTCGAGCGAGAACGTCTCTTTTAAAAATAATCGTTCCTCGAAGTTGCGGAAGAAGATATCTGTCTCTCTCTCTCTCTCTCTCTCTCTCTCTCTCTCTCTCTCTGTTTCTCTCTCTCTCTCTCTCTCTTTCTCTTTCTCTCGCTCTCTCTCTCTCTTGTAATTTGAATTATTTCCTAAGAAAAAAAAAACAATACAAAAGAAAAGAAAAGAAAAGAAAGAGATAATAGAACGTTTATGTGTATGAAGAAATCCTTGAGGCTCGGTGTGGGCTTACACGTGTGAAATAATAACATTATACGAGGGTATTAAAGATTTGTTTATATTACAGATCGTGCTTACGAGCGCGAACGATCTGTGACCTTCCGTTTCGTACTCTTTATTGTTCTGTATTCTCTTTTCGTTGTATTTATTACGCTTTATCAGTCTTCGTTGAGTCGTCATAGAGAGAACATCGTTAAAGACTGACGATAATTTCGCTTCGATGTAAGTAATTTTCTTTAAATACAATACATACCACAATTATCGTATAATTATATCTATGTTATAATCATTTGAACAATTACGATTGTAGAAA